CCCCCCCCCACCAACTGGCATCACAGAGTTGAGCCCTGACCACAGAACCCCCAACACACGCGGCAACCACAAGCGTGGCCTCTGGCCCCGAGAAGCCAGGCAGATGCACACGCGAGCGCGCACACCCGCAGGCGTGCAAGAAGCGGGTTCAACCAACACCTCCCCGCCGCCCTCTCCCCCACCCAACTTCTGGGAAAGGGCTCCTGGCTCCGCCCCAGGCTTTCTTTCCAGAAGACCCCTACTCCTGCCCCTATATGCCTACCTCATCTTCATTACAGGCGGCTCTCAACTCTCCTGTCCCATGACCTCACATACACCAATCCCCATCGGGCCCCCCCTGCCTACAGCATGACCACCACCACCACCTTCAAGCTCCCTAGCTCTCCCCCAGTGTCCGCCCCCTATTGGTTTGGCTCCAGGATGCAGGAGCAGAAAGTAGTCTATGGTCCAAACATCAAGGGTGTCAGCTGGTGCCCCACAAAGGCACCAGCAGAGCTACAGACCACTGACAAGACTTCTGGGCTCTTCTATGAGTCAGGCCTTCTAATCCACCTGCTCCAGCCCTGAGCAGTCCAAGGCCATGCCTCCCACACGCCAGCCTACATCCGGGCACCTTGCTCCTCTGTGAGTTTTCTTTTTTTCTCTTGGTGCTCCTCTGAAATGGAAAGGATATCAGACCTGACTAGGGTGAAGGTGCGGTGCAGTCCGCATCTCCAGCCACTTAAGCTGTCTTCTTGGAAGAAAACAGATAGGGAGTTTGGGGTGGACTGGCGAAGTTGTTTCTGAATGGTGAGGAGGTGAGAGGAAGGGTAGCCCTCTGGAAAAGTCAGCCAGAAGGTTGGATCTGAACCACTGGGTGGCAGGGAGTGGGAGTCTTGGGGTAAATGGAACTAGAGACTTACAAGGAAAAATAGAATAAATGCCAAAGTGATTGGCCCTGTGGGTAGGAGGAGAATAGCTGGAACAGGGGTCTTTGAAGTGTGAAAAAGTGAAAGAAATCCAGCTTGATTGGGGCAATTAGTACCAATGAGATGGCCAGCATTAGACTGGTCAGAAAGGAAAACTTGAGAGTTCACTTGAGTGGGGATGGGAAGAAGTGGATCAGAATCCTTACCAGAAAAAGCAGGAGTCCTAAAGTTAGCTGGAAGGATGGAAAAAGGATACCTCTTCCCAGGGTAGAAGTGAGGGTACTGACGTAGGAAAAGTAGGCTTATTAGCAACACTGTTTCTCAAAGCAGACATTTAGAATTTCAAGCATACACTGACCAAAAGCAAAATGTTGCTGGAGGCAGGTTTTGAAGGTGGTAGGGATGACAAGAAGCGTAAGTGTGAAAGGGGCAGAAGTCTATGCCAGGAGATAGCAGCCCCAGCAGAAGCTCTCAGCTGTGCACACAGAGCTGCTCACCATCATTCAAAGAAAGGAACGTCTAGCACCAGCCACAGTAGTCACTCTTTTCAGAGGGCTATGTGCCAGGGACATTACTAGGAGCATTACACGCATTATCTCATTCATCCTCTTGACAACTCTATGAGTTAATATTGCTATCCCAATTTATAGATAAGGAAACAGGTTTAGAGAGGTGAACTAACTTGCCCAATGCCACACAGCTCTTAAGTAGAATCAGGATCTATATCCAGAGTCTGACTCTATAACCTATACTCTTAATCACCCATCTTTAGGTTCTCCAGAACCTGCAGGAAACCCAAAAAGGAATGTCAAAGGATAAGTTCCTAAATTCTCATTCCATAATGTACAGGAGATAAGGGCGGTATCTCTGAAACTGGAGTGACCCATACCATTAGGGCATTTAGAGATGTTCTTCTTTGAAAGAACCATCCCCAGACATGGGGAGAACCTTTATTTGCAGTATGTTTGGGGGTGATGAACAATGGATAATCTCTGGGATGCCTGTAAAAAAGAGACACCTGCCCCCCAGCCCTAATCTCTGAGGGGCAGCCATATCTCTAGGATACTGCAAGACCCTGCCCTAGGGTCTGAGAGAAACATTCTCCACTCCAGGTGCCTGTTTGCTCTCCTGGAGCCTCTGGCTGTCGCACCCTACTGCATCTCCTCGGTTTGGCTGGGGCACAGGATTAGCTATCCCCAGGAAATGCCTCCCTCCGGTCCAGGCAGGGATCCCAGCGTACACACCCCTGGAGTGAGTGAGTGCGTGCGTGCGTGCGTGCGTGTGTGTGTGTGTGTGTGTTACAGGGTGGGGGGAGATGGTGGAATGCTTCCTCTCCAGGCCAGGGAGGAGTTCTGGGGACCACCTGGGGGCCCCCACCCATCCCACCTCCTTGCTGGGGAAGTGCCCAGTCCAGTGCCCCTTCCATGGCCACCTCCCTCCCCCTAGCTGTGTGGGGCATGAATCAGCTCTCACAGCTTGTTAAAGCTAGACCTCTTGTTTTCATGCCCTCACCTCAGGAAACAGAGTTACAGCTTTTCCAGCTCTACTCAGCAGGGGGCCAGGGTCCTCACTTTATAAACATCCCCAAGCCTGTGAGAGGGCACGGAGATGGTGCGAGACAGGAGCCCAGGGGAGAAAGACAGAAACTAAGACTCGAGGAGAGAAACAAAGAAAAGCCAAGGAGACAAGACCAGAGTAGCCTGAACAAAAGCCAGGAACGGTCCGAAAGGGCCGTACTGCAGGAATGGCCTTATGGATGCTCTGGGCTGGACAGGCTAAGGGGACCCTGGGCGGCTGGGGGATCACCTGCTTGGTGATATCTCTGCTCCTCCAGCACCCAGGAGTCCACAGCAAGTGCTACTTCCAAGCTCAAGGTAAAGCTGGGTGAGGCGTTAGGGAAGGACAGGAGCAGAGGGCACTGGGAGGAAGGGGGCTCAGGGGTGATCCTGTGTCAGAAGACCCAGACCCCCTGAGCTGGGAAACAGGAGAGGGTAAACGCGGGGGCAGCAGCACTTACTCCCTGCGCTCCAGCACACTAACATTTCCTGCTCTTCCCTAGCGCCCTGCCACCATGAAGGGAAATATTTCACCCTGGGCGAGTCTTGGCTCCGCAAGGACTGTTTCCACTGCACCTGCTTGCATCCCGTCGGTGTGGGCTGCTGTGACACGTGAGTGACCACTGAGGGCCAGAGAGAATGGCTCTGATGTGAGTGACTGAGAGATGGCCAGGGCATGACTAGATTGCTGCGGTGTGAGAATGAACAAAGTAGCAGTATGAAGCTGGCCGAACCTGAAGGTACCAACAAAAATGTGAGAGAGAAGGCTTCAGGCTACAAAGGAAGGGGAGTTGGGGTGGATCTGGAGGGAAAATATTCCTGCTATGAAACGAAAAAAATCCATATATGGCAGGCAAGAGCTCGGTTAGGGGGGACTGGGGCACTGGGGGAAGATATGGGAGGAATGCTGGGAGGGGGGATGCGAGGCAGGGATAAAGGTGGACCTTCACTGTCCTGACCCCTTCCCCGTCCTTTGGTTCTCCAGATCCCAACATCCTATCGACTTCCCTGCTGGGTGTGAGGTACGTCAGGAGGCAGGAACATGCCAGTTCTCCCTGGTGCAAAAATCTGACCCCCAGCTGCCCTGCAAAGGGGGAGGGCCCGACCCAGAGTGGGGCTCAGCTAACACCCCTATTCCTGCGGCTCCTGCTCCCCACTCCAGCTAAACTCAACCGACCGCCCTTTTGCTGACTGCCCACTGCTGCTGCCACTTCCAGGGAAACCACTAGAAGCTGCCGATTTATTCTGAATAAATAAATTAATGCTACAGCCGAAAGCCTGCCTCTCATTATCTGTGCCACTGGACCCTAGGTGGAAAAAATGGGCCCTACTAGAGTCCAGGTGCTGAGTTCTCAGGATCCTGAAGAAAGTAGTACCACATGGGCCAGTTTCAGATGGTTATGGTGCTGGTGCTGGGGCCTGGGGCCGCATATGAAGCCAGGGTAGGGCTTGTAGGCAGCACCTTGATGGGGAGGTCCCAGCTGAAGGTGTCCACAGGCACTTGCTCAGGCCCTGTCCAGGTGACAGGCTCGGGCTGTTCCATGGGAGGTAGGAGCACCAAACCCGGTTCTCGGGATGTTACAAATTCAAAATGCAAACGCCACTTCAGGGATACTGTGGGAAAAAAGATAAAGGTAGAAGCATTAGAAGCCATGAGTAAAACCCAATGACAGGATTTGGTTAGCAAATGAGAGAAAAAAAAAACCTGTATTCAGGAAGAGTGGGGAGGTGTGGGGCAGGGAGCTAGGATCGAAGAGTTTGGCTGAAGAAATCTAGTGTGTAAACTGGAACCGTGACAGTAAGGACGATGGCATCAACTACCTAATAACCCAAATGTGAGACAGTCAAGACTTGGTAGCTTGAAGTAAATGCAACGGCGAGTCAGAGATGAGGGCATCACAGGGTCCCAGTGGGTAGGGGGAGTGAAGATGTGCAAAGCTGTTAAGAATTTAGGGGTCAGTGCACCCAGGAAACAGGGTGAAGTTCTGAGAAAGTGTTGAGGGTCACAGACTGGATGTGGGTATGTCTGGGAGTGTGTTAGGAATCAGGATTCATTATACGCTACCTAAGTGCAGCATCTTACCGTGCCCCCCACCCCTGGTAATAGTCAGGGTCTCACCAACGGCTGTGCAGAAGCCTGGTGTGGAACTGAGAGGGATGGGGAGGGAGAAGCTCGTTCTGGTTGTATGTAGGCAGGACTCCTGGTGCCGGGCATGAGTGACATGAGACACAGAGGGGGCACCCCCTGTCCCGCGGCGCCGCTGGTACTCAGGCTGCACACGCTCCTCCGTCTGTAAGCTCACTGAAAACTGGGAGCAAGAAGAGAAGTGCGTGCTGGCAGGCGCTGGGACGTGCTGACTCCGCGTGGGAGGGCAGCCCAACCTCACGTTGTTTTACCAGAGGGACGCTGGGTGACGTCACTGCCCATTTCTACCTGCCACCCCTCTTTATGCAGGCCCTCTCTTTCCACCCTAGACCTTCAGACCCAGTTCCCCCAAAGTCCCTCTCCTTTCTCACCTGCAAACAAGCTACAGTTCCTTCTCCTAAGTTTAAGGTCCCCACCACGTCCTCGCCAAGTCTGTATACAGATTTGAATATGCCAAATGTCCCAACTTTTCCTCGGCCATCACTGATGTTGTACAGATCTGGGGAGAATGGGACACAGTAAGCCTGGGGTCCGCACTGGGGAATGTCTAGGGCTGGAAGCCAGAGGCCAAAAGGTGTGGCTTTTCCTTTAGAATCTGGGGTGAGGTATCACTGGATCCTCAGGAGAATGTGGCAGCTAGGAGACTCCATCTCTGAGACAGGAATACTATGAGGGGAGGATGGGGTGGGGCAATGTGAAGGGCTTCTCACGGAGGCTGCGGCAGGATGTGGCAGCCATGAGGCGCTCCCCAGCCAGCTCAGCGAGCCATGAGTCCTTCTTGCCACATTCATCCTCTTCCAAGAATGGACTGGATGGGGCAACTGCCTCCTCCTGGGGAAAGTGGACATCTTGAAGGCCTGGAGAGAAAATGAGTGGAGAGGTGGTGGGAGAGAACAGAGAGAAGAGTAGTGGGTAGGGTTTTAGACTCCAACCTGAGAGGGCTGTAGGTAAGGGGCGCCACGGCTGAGGTACACATCTCACCTATGCTCCAGAACCTTCTCTCCCCAACCCCCTCACACCTTCACTAAGACCAGGAAGCTTCCCTCCAGCCCCTCTCACAAACCCTCTAAGGATCATTTCTGCTTTGGTGAGGCTCTTCTCCAGCCCTTCCCTCCAGGAACCCTTACTTACCAGTCAGCACAAGAACCCTCAGAGGGACCCTGAGTAAAGTGATGGGTGAGTTGACACGCTGGCAGCCAATGGTCAGTTTGTAGACATACTTGACTGACTGACCCCGAAAGGAGGGTGGTCCCTCTATAGGCAGCACTTCGCTGTAGGAGTCTGGTTAGGAGGTAGTAGTCAGGGCAGCCAGAAGCAGCCAGAGAGGTCCTCCCTCCAGGAGCCTTAGAAGGCAATCGAGGGGTCAGGGGGCAATCACTCACATGACTTCGACTCTCCAGGGTCTAGCCTCAGGTCACAGAATAGGATTTTTGGTGGAGTGGAAAGGATACACTGACCCCTCTCACCTAGAAAAGATAAGACTGCAACTTAATAACCCCATTGTCTAGTACTGGAGAAGGCTAGCACAGCAAGTGGGGGCAGTAAGCACTGCCAACAAAGGGCAACCCAAACCAAGCCACTCCTCTTTTCTCGTTGTGAGATAAGAACAGTTTTACGCCACCAAAGTAATAACTACACTCTTCCACATCCCCAGTGTGACAGAGACTATAATGACCCACCAGAAGAATCTGACAATTTCACCCTTGGGTAACAATGATTCCATCCCCCTCCAAAGGCAAATGGCCCATCTCTAACCTCGGTGTGGTAGAAAGACAGTCTGGCTCTCAGGCTGGACATCTGGCTGACTGGAGTCAGGGGGAGGCAGTGCTACTCGACTCTCACTGGCATGGAACTGGCAGTGGATTTGGGCACTGGCCCATGCCAGAGCCTCACTGTGGGAGGAGGAAAAGAGGACATCAGAGGGCAGTTCCTGACCTTACAAATGCTCCCCCAAACTCCCTACCACACTGAGAAGACCAACACAGTGAGGCGGCTGTCCTCTGGATCAGAAAATCCAGAACCCCAAAGAGAAACCATTAAACAAAGAGAAGTATACTGGGTAAAAGGGGGAGTGGGGGAGGAGAGAGGAGAGGAGAGTGGAGGGCTATGTCACCCACATCTTAAATGCTAAATAGCCTTTCCTACAATGAGAGCACAATGAGCAAGAAGGTGGTGCTGTAGTCACAGGACAACCTGAGCTCTGGCTCAGCACTATAGATACCAGGCTTCCTCCCAGAAGGACCACCTTCTTCAGTACCGGCATCCCCACCTGGATGCAGAAGTGGCCGTGGGGGGCAGGGGGTTGGTGACGGTCACCACACACTCCAGCGCCTCCCCTGCCAGAAACACAGGACCTCTGCTCAGCTCTGCTACCACTTCAATCATGGCAGCTCCGGAATCGGATCTAGAAGGAAACAAGGGGTATCAGAGGTCAGTACCACGGCCCGGAGGGGTGTCTCAGGTGAGCCTGGGGGTGAGGACCCGGGGAATGGGCGTTCAGCACCAGGGTGTCAGAGGGAAGCGCCCAGATTTGGGATGCGGGAAGGCGGAAGGGAGGTATGGCGGCAGCTGACTCGGCACTGCGGAGAGAGAGGGAGTCGCTCTAGATCCCAGCCCCCAGCCCCGCTCAGCGCCGAATATTCCCCCTACCCCGCCGGGACCCCCAGGCCGCCTCCGCCCCCTTCCCTCGAGGTTTCACGTCCCAGCCCAGGGCCACGGCCGCCCGGCATCTCGCGCCCCTAGCCCGGACACCTCGCACGGGCGAAACTGGGGTATCTATGCACCGAGGCCCTCGGTCGCCCGCCCCTCCGGGCCGGGACCTAGTGCGTGGCTGCGGCCGCGGCAGAGGCGGGACTTCC